ATCAAGATCCATCCATGTTTTGTAAAAAAGTTGAAAAATGGGGTATTAATACAAGAATCTGCACAATGCAACTATCTCCACTATAACCACAAATTGAATAATCTCTCCATTTAAAAATTATTTCTTGAGAAGACAGAGAAAATTGCAACTGAAGGCTATTTCAGCCATTCACTGGCTGCCACTAGAGACTCACAAAATCCAGCTCCAAATACTGCAACGTGTCACACTTTGTGTCCTGGACTTCAAAGAGTTTTCTCCTCATTTTGCTCTAGCTGTGTTTGAAATGGCTGTACATGGATATTACTTTTACCACCCAGTTATTGCTCCTTAAAGGGCAATGTACAAACACCAGTGTGCAACGACTAATCACATGCACATAGATTTGTTGGATTTACTGAGTTACATACTCTTATTTCTATGAAGTATGGATTTCCTATTCAGAAGGCAAAAGCAGCTAATAAGTTCTCCACCTTTTCTTCTATCCCTTTCTTCCTGTTCAAGAGCCAATAATGCTTACCTATTTCATCATTCATCAAATATGGAACTCTTGGTCTGACAAGTTACATTCAGTGCCATTGTTACAGCTATGCAGACACATTTTCTGCCATAGGTGCACAGATGTATTGCATTATACAAGAACAGCAAACCCTCCTGGCCTACAGGCTACACACCAAATTTCGGACACCTAAATGCCAAAAAATACACACTGGCCTCCCCAGAAAACTTCAGAGAAGGGATTTTCAGCACAGCTGAACAGCAACAGCTCCCACTTTGTAGCGTCACTGCTTTACCTTTGCTGCAGATTAGGATATCCAGAAAAAAACAGAAGGCCTTTCTGGTTTGCCTCCTCCCTCGCACTGCTATGACTGAATGTACCTCGCAACTCTACACCATGACAATCTCAACTGTGTGTCACAAAAGAAGCCACATTTGAATGGCACTGAGAGTCACAGGTTGAATATCAGCATCTTTAAATGTTTACACACCACAGATAAATATGTCCCAATACAAAATATCCCCAAAATAATATCCACTAATCCCTGCACATATATACAAAATCAAAACATTTTTCTCTACAGCACTGTAAGAGTTCCAGCACAGATAGATCAAAGTCCCTCATAGCACCCTGTATTTAACTACCACTAAATGAGTACAGTTCACTGCACACTTTTCTTACAACACACCTATTCTCTCAGTTTATTAGGCACTAACAACCTGGTAAAAGAGATTAATAATAAACCCTTAATTAATTTTTTATGCTCAAATTACATACCAGACACAAATATATTTCAGTTCCAAGAAGGAACAAAAATCAATGAGCAGAATGGTTTAAATAGTTATCTAAAGCAAATTGCTGACATTTTCATCACTCAAACGCAGTCATCCTCCAAATCTGCTCCCCCAGACTTCTCACTGAAAACTTTTTTTTTAAACAACCACGGTATGTGATAGCCCACCTAAATTATAAAAAAAACCAATATATAATCAAACGCAGCAGGGCCTGTATTTTTTGCAGTTTTACCTACGCTGGAAGGCACCCTCGTCAGCGGCACAGCGGCGCAGCTACAGCGGAGCTCCGGGACAGGGCACACAGGCGCTGCCGGAGAGTGCCGCCCTTTACCCCCGGCCGTGGAAGGCCGTGCCCCGCCGGCCCCACCGAGCGCCGGCAGCCACGGCCGAGCTGGGGCTGCTGGGGCCGCTCGCCCAGCCCGGCCCGGCGGGCGCTCCCCGCCGCACGGGAGGCCGCAGGCACTGCCGATCAGCGGCCGGCGGTAGCCCCGGACACTCAGGCCGCCGGGGGCCCCGAGAGCAATTTCGGGCAGCCGGAGATCCCCCACTGCCACGGAGGGGACGCGGGGAGCTCCCACCACGCTCGCTCCAGGTCCGGCAGCCGTGCGGGGCCCGCGGCCCGCGGTGCCCCCCGTGCTCCCAGGGCAGGGAGAGGGACTGCCGCCTCTGCTCCCCGCGGCACGCCAGCTCCGCCGGCTCGGGCTCCCCGCGCCCTGCGCTGCCCCCTCAGCGCTGCCGCGCCCGCTCACCCGCGTCCCGGCCGCCGCCGCCGCCGCTCCGGCTGTGCTCGCTCTCCGCGCCCGCCCGCTCGCAGCCGCCCCGGCGCTGCCGACGCATCAACATGGCTGATGGGAGAGTCCGCGCCACGTCAAGGGGCAGAGAGCGGGGGCGGGCTGAGCTCCGCCGCTCCCCCGCCCCCGGGCAGCCCGGCCGGCGCAGCGGGGCTGCCCTCAGCCGTCCCGGCCTCAGCGGTCCCGCAGCTGCGGCTGTCGCTTCGCCGCCGTGACAGCCCTGCTCGCGGCCGTGTGTGCTCGCTGCTCTGTTCGGCGTTCTTCTGAAGGTCGGTCGTCTGCATCTCGAACCCAAATCCATTCAGGAAAAAAGGCATGCCGAGCACCGGGGGCAGTTTTGCCGTCTCGGCTCCGCCGTGCTGCGCCTGTGCCCGCGGTACCGGGGCTGCCTGCGGCCCGCCGGTGGCTGCGCTGCTCTGCTGCTCTGGCCGGCACGGAATTCCCCGGGAGCGGAACAGCCGCGCTTCCCGCAGTCCTGAGCTCACCCTGCTTGTTGCCATCGTCCACCGTGTGTACTTACGGCACCATGTGTACTTATGGTTGTTAGTGCCTTGTTTACATGTTTCTTCTGAGTGCCTAGGGGAAAAAAAAAATTGAAATTATATTCCTGGGGGTTTTAGCCTGAAACAATCTTTATCTTATTAGTGTGGTCAGCTTTTTATCCCCGCACTCAAGTTACAGGGACTGTTCAGTTTCAGGAATTGTTTTTAACAGGCCTGTCATGAAAGGCCAGAACAGTAACCTCTGTCTTTCCTGAGATGTCTTAGTGCAATTAATCCACACATGGAAGAGGACTGAGAAACATTCTGCTGACTGACCACCATATCCTCCCTCCTTCATTGCAACTCGGAAAACATTCTGGGACCACCAGGCAAATACAAATTACTAGAACAACCTTATCCTCTTTTCTTATATGTCAGATGTAATTATGATAGAATTTCTTAGCCATTACTATCTGCAGTAAGGCTACGGATACCAATCCTCTTCAGACTAAAAACATGAAGAGTTAAGCAACAGCAGAATTTACAGGAGGGATTTTAAATTTTCTTGTCCACAAATCTCACTGCCATTTGTGGGAGTATTAACCAAGAGCTTACCAATGACATGAACCATCCTCACCTGAACTCAAAAGAAAAAAAGGAAAAAAAGACCAACCCCCAAATGGCACAATACATCGAACTTCAAACAGATGCACAGAAAGTGACTCAGTGTAGTAATTTCAAAAGCATTCAAATACCTTGTGAAACATTTTCAGAAAATTACCTAAAAAACAGGCAAATCCTGAAGTCTAAACTGCAGGATGAACTCTGTAAATAAGAGAAAAAGAGGCAGCTGACATTTAAAGATACTCAAAGGGCAAGAAGGGAAAACAGCAAAGTATACTACTCTGAAAGTTCAGTACAACTAAAATATATTCAGTATTTTTAGTTAATCTTCAGCACAATTAAATTTCATTCCATAATAACTCAATCCAATGCTCTAAACTTAAAGAAAAGTCATGCAGCTGTTATGATGGTGCAAACCACAGAGAAAATCAAGGAGAAAGAAAAGTAGAAAATAGATATAAACTCATTTGCTCATTATAAGAAAATATTTTGTTAGGTCCCCATATTCATATCTAGAATGTAGATTTGAGAGCATTTTAATTTTTCCTAACGCAGAATTCATGTTACTTTGTTTTAGTTTGGTTTGGTTTTTTAGCCAATGGGACATGTCCATTAATGCAGCTCACCCTTTCTTGGGAAAAGTACTCTTCCTTAATGCCTAAGCAGTTAAGAAGAAATATATACATTTCCAGTTTCATTTTCCTCTTTCTCCACTGAGTCATATTTGCTAGCCATTGCATCAGCATTGTTGATAAGACATGTTAGGAATAATTTTATTACGTGTGAAAGACTATCTGCAATAATTAAAAATATGTTGCTTTGCTTAACAAGTATCAATAGTAAGTTCCAGAAAAAGTAATCTAAAGACAGAAAGTATATTTAAAGTGTATTTATATCTGTGGATTCTCTTTCTGTTCATAGTTCTGGACTTTACAACGAACAGGAAAAATAAGTTCTGAATATTACTAAAGTATTAGAAAAGAACTTTATGTAGCTGGACTCACCAGAGTTTTTGTCTTGATCATCAGTCAACCTTCCCAGAATTATCAGTGTAGGCTTAAGTAGACAGGTTTTATTTCTCGTGGCGACTGCAATTGTTGCATACTCAACTAGGACATTAGATCCGGGTTCAGAAAAAAAAACCTCCCTGGTACACGTAGGTGCTGTTGGAAACACCTTAAAACAAACAAAAGCCATTGGAGAGGAGGAGTTAAGGTAGATGTTTATTTAGAAGTACTGAAATACAGACTTGCAGGGAATTTTTTAAAAATTTTGATTTTTTTTTTAAACTTACGTCAGAAGTATCTAAAACTACTCTGAAATATGAGATCTAAATAGACTTTGCATGCAGAACTATATACTGATGGACATTTTGTATAACAGGAATTTCATAATACACTATGTAAATGATTACAACATCATCCTTCTGCTCCTTATTTTACCTGGGAAACAATGCCCCCTTGTGCAAACGCTGCCTTGCTTTCTGCCATGCGGATGCTCCCACATTATATCTTCAGAAAAACTCACACAGCAACAGCTCAGCATTGACCCTTCCAGAATGGGAACTCTGTGTAAATTTATAATCAACTTCTATGTAAGTGACTTTGACCACAGACCTCAAAGCATTTCAAGGAAGGGACAAATATTGTGAATACTAGGTGTTCACAGGTAAACTAAGTGCGTACTAATGGGTGAGCTTTAAAGAACCTCTGACAGAAACTTCAGTGTATTAGAATAATGGCACAGGGCCTAAAGAAAGAAGCTGTTAAAGGTTTACACCTGTCCATCACAAAGGCAGGCCTAGTTTGAGGGGGGTGAATTGGCAGACCCTTTCTGCCGCTGCTCTTTCCCGTGTTTCCCTTATCCCCACTCCGGTGGTTTCCCGGGTAACCGAGCAGCCCGCCCCCCGCGCGGGGCCGAGGCTCGGGCCCGCCGCTCTCGCGAGAGCAGCTGCAGGCGGGCGGGCCGTGCCGCCGGGCCGGCGCGGCCATGGAGCCGGGCCTGGAGGAGCTGATGCCGCGGCTGCTGCCCGTGGACGACTGTGACCTGGCCGAGGATTTCGATCCCACCGTGCCTCCCAGGACGCCGCAGGAGTATCTGAGGCGCGTCCAGTGAGTGGCGGGGCGGACGGGCCGGGCTCGCGGCTGCCCGGGCCGCGGTGGGTGCTGCCCTTCGGCGGCACGGTCGGTGTTCCACACACCTGCGGGACGGGCGGGCACCGCTCTCTTCCCTCTCGTGACCGGCGACACGGCTCGAGGAAACGACACGGAGCCGTGTCAAGGGAGGTTTAGGCTGGATATCAGGAAAGGGTTCTTCACCCACAGGTGGCTGGGCGCTGGAACAGGCTGCCCAGGGCAGCGGTCACACAACCAGGCGTGACAGAGCTCGAGAAACACTTGGACATTCTGGGCTGTCCTGTGCGAGGAGTTGGACTCAATGATCTTCATTGGTCCCTCCATGGTTTTATGAGTATTTCAGAGACATCCGGTATATATCGACCTGTTACAGGAAAGAAAAAAATGCAGCCCACTTGATTCTGTTTTGTAGGATTGAAGCAGCTCGATGTCCTGACGTGGTCGTGGCACAAATAGATCCCAGAAAATTGAAGAAGAAGCCGACAGTAAACATTTCAGTAAGTTTGAGAGCTTTTACACGTTTTGAGACCAAAAAAAAAGGGGGGAAGATGTTACTATAATGATGTTTGTATTAATTTGGGGAGTCATTGGTGTAATTTAGTAGCACTGCTAGATTCGAAAAGCATTTACAGAATTAAATATCTGTGTGTGAAGAAACCCCTACTCAACTGCTGGGTAACACTAGTTTGAAAGACTGCTTTTAGTCAGTTTGATTAAATTGATAATCCCCATACTATTTGATATGCAGCAGACTATTTTACTGTCTGAGGAAATCCAATGTTGCATTAAATCTTACAATTATTTAATCATAAAACCTGCATAAATTTTAGAAGAAAAACATCCATACCTGTCTTTGGGTTTAAGACTATATCTAGCATAAGCGTAGTAAGTGCAGCTAAGCTTTCCTAAAGATAGATGAAATTCTAGCACCACTTCTTTCCTTTTGGAAAGAATCTGTTATTGGAACTTCTCCTTACTGTTGAAGCAGATTTTTCTGTTGTTGCATTGCCCTGCCAGCTTGGTTTTTAATCTACTTTGAAATAGTTTGCCTTTCTCCAATGACAATGATGTAATCTGAGATTTCACTACTAGATTTCTCAAAGAAAGTTTCTAATATTGATATGACTTTATAACTTGTAGCCATTCTCTTCATGTGTCTCATCTGTAGTGACATCCTTAAACACCTGTAGGAAGATTTTGTTTAATAACCCTTTCATGCTAATCTTTAAAGTGATTATATCTACTTAACTATCAAACGTAATTTTCTAGATGGTTTTATGGTCTTCTGTCTTCCTCAGCCTACTGTCTTGACAGGTAGAATGCCTAAGATTGATAGTATCTGTCCCAGATAAGGAAAGGCTTTTCATGAGCAGGAAGATTAAAGCAGAACAATTGCTGAAAGGGAGACCTTAAGTAATTCTCTGACAATGTATTTTGAACACTTAGTTTTCCTTCTTATGTACGTATGAGAAGAGTTAAACAAAAAAAATTTGTCTAAACCAAAATCTTAACTCAGCCTTGGATATGGTCATGAATTTAGCTTTCTTACATGAAGATTTCAAGGATATTATTTACCTGACAATAAACATTTACTGATTCTGTTGTTCTTAAGGTTTGTTCTTATAAAGCTCTCTTTACATTATAATTATTGCCAGTGTTTTCTCAGATTTCTGGATGTCAGCCTGCTCCTGAAGGATACTCTCCGACGCTCAAGTGGCAGCAGCAGCAAGTGGCCAATTTCTCAGCTGTTCGTCAGGTACAAGATAGTCTGTGAGGGGTCTTGCACAGTCTGGCTAGAACATATCTATGCTTTACAGGGAATAAATTTATATCTACCATAGAAGTGTTGTGATTTTTTGTAGAAGGATAGATGTTTATTGATATGGGTTTTAAGTTCTTAAAAGCTAGTTGAGCATATACTGTGTGGCTTTTAAACCTCTGATAAAACTCTTGAGAGTCACGTTTAAGAAATTCTCCTTCAACAAAAATATGTCCATATTTAGATTAAATTATATTATGTAGTTGAGAAAGGACAAAAAGCCCAATGATGTTATGCAGTTACATTAAAATACAGTGCTAGCAGGAAATGTTCTGCAGAACTCAACGTGAACTAAGAACCAAGTGGATTCTAACCCAGCAGGAGATTCATAAATTCCATTCATACAGTCCATTTAGGAACCTGTAGACAGAGGTGGCAGCCCATTATGAGGAAACATACTGATTTGGTAAAATGTATTTGTAAGGTTATAGAGTTAGCACAGACTTTAATCTTTCCTGATACATTTGCACCCTGCTTGAAGTAACACAACAAGAACAGAAAATTAAGCAGTCTCAAAGGGTAAAGGTTCTAAGTTCAGCTAAGCTTTACTAAAGTTTTAAACTGAAGGATGGTCGATTTAGATTAGATATAAGGAAGAATTTTTTTACAATGAGGGTGGTGAAACACCAGCACAGGTTGCCCAGAGAAGGATGCCCCATCCCTTAAAACACTGAAGGTCAGATTGGATGGGGCTCTGAGCCTGATCTAGTTAAAAGAGATGTCCCTGCCCATGGAAGAGGGTTTGACTAGGTGGCCTGTGAAGGTCCCTTCCAACCCAAATCTATGATTCTTCTATTCTCTATGCACAGTTCAAACAGGTTAAATGGAAAATATAATAAAAATGTAGGTAGAGGTCATTTGTGACTCCAGTGCTGCAGACAGCATGTTCACAGTGCATTGATGCTGCATTGTAGGGGTACCTCAAGTACTGAGGTGTGACCAGCTAGGAGCTGCTCTAGCACTGAACTCTGCGTGAGTTCATGTGCCATGGTTTTTTCAGGGAGGAAAATTTAGTGAAGGAGGATACTACTGCATCTACATTGTAAACAGTACCTGAGCTGTTTCTGCAAGGGACCACATTGCATCCTGTTTATTAGGCATAGTCTAAGGTTATAGCAGAACTATGGAGACAGATGTCTAAAGGCTTATTCACTGAATAGGTATTTCTTTTATGCTCAAATCAATTGTCTTATCTGTGCCAGAATTAACACTGTGAAATATGAGACTATCCTAAAAAGTATTTAAAACAAAAAAAAAGCATCAGAATTCACTTGTTCAGCCACTGCATCAGTTGCTGTAACTTTGAGCATTTTTAGTGGTCGTTTATACAGCTACAGGAGCAACCAGAGTGGGAGACAAATTCCTTCTGCTGCAGAACATTTACAGCTCTCTACAAGTAACAGTTAAGCAGGCCAGTTTGTCTAGACAGGATTCCTGCCAGGTGGAAGAAATGTGCTAAGAAAGCACTTGTTTTCTTTCATACGATTCTGTAGACTTCCGATACAGATGCAGACCACTGTTGGAAACAGGATATTGGCTTTATGTGTGCTTTTGGATTAAATCAAAGTAGGCTTTTTCTTAAGATTGTTCTAACAAGTCCAGAAGACTGTTAAAGCTTACTACATCAGCTTAACCTTATGTAATAGATTTCAAAATGCTTTCAGCTTTTAACATTACTTCCAAAATCCCAGCATGAGATTCTTAATTAAATTTCTGCTAAGAGGCATGGAAATTATTTAGTCAGTTGTGCTGGCTAAATCATCTGATTTATAGAAAGTCATAAAATATACTTTTCATACATTTTAAGAATAATGAAGATCCCTTGTGGCAAGGATAAAACATCTGCAGAGTTAACTGGGATTTGCCTTTGTTTTAATTACTCAGAGCCTGAACAAGCACAGGAATCACTGGCGGTCACAACATTTGGACAGCAATGTTACTATGGTGAGTAGAATTCATAACAGTGCTCTGTGGTTTGTTTTCCCAGTTATTGAATCCACAGTTAATCTTGCTTTATACTTGCACTTTTCTCCAGTGTCTTCAAGACACAATATTACACAGTTTTCATTTATTTTTATTTACTTCAGCCAAAATCAGAGGATGAAGAAGGATGGAAGAAGTTCTGCCTTGGGGAAAGAGTATACTCAGAAATGGATGCACTATCTGATAATGAAGATTTCGGAATTGATTACTTGAAGGTGAGTATAGGACTTCTAGTTAGTTTTCAGCATCTATTTTCTAGACTAACTGCCAGAAACAATCCTACTGTTTATTACCACTTTGTGCCAAATAGAAAGTAGGCTCTTGTGAGCCCAGAAAGTCCCAGTGTAGATTCTTTTTATGCAGAAACCAAGTGAAACAGGAATTAAGTCCATGTCTCCTGTCAAAATTTGAAGAGGTCCTTCATCTCTTATCAGCTAAAGTCATTATTTTGTTCTCACTGAACAGAATGGGAGCTTTCTTCATAGTCTGCTTTAGTGTTTTGTTGCATGGTGATATGTGATTACCCTCCTCATATGTGATACCCTACAATCATGTTCTTCACTACATCACTTAGAAAAACCAAAACTTTAACAAGTAGCAGTAGAAGCAAGGTGCTCTGATACTGGACCTTCAACTTTCTTGAAGACACTTTTTAAATAAATTTTAAAGCTTAGAACAGACTTTTAAATCACTACAAGTGTCTGAACATCAAATTAAAATCTTAGTATGATCTAAATTAGAACAAAGATATTTGTGATAATGTTTACATTTTCCAACTTGGTTTTTTTTTCAGGTGGGCTTTCCCCCTTTGCTAAGTATTGTAAGCAGGATGAATCAGGTAAGCCTACCTCATAGAATCATATAGTGACATTGCCTAAATCATTATTTCTCAAGTTCTGTTGCAGAAGGCTTACCTATTTTTCTTTGCGTGGAAAGTTGTTCATTACAAATTCTATTAACTGTACACTCAGAAGGAAAATATGTATTTGTATCTCACATTCAGCTACAAATAACTTTACAAGCAAAGATTTTTCATTTCAAGACTAGTTCTGAAAGTATTTTGTTATTGTAGTTTCTCTATAGCATATTTAATGTTTGAATTTTTGCTGAATACCCCAATAGGTGCTTTACAATGTTTCTAAATTTCTCATTTAGTGTTTTAAGTGCAGTCCTTCCATTTGATTGTGAACTTCTATGAATGTTGCAAGGCTAGAAAAATCACTGTTATCTTTCCTTTACTACTTGTCCCACTTGCCATCATTATACAGATATACAGAACCAATCAACCAACCAACCAATGAGTATGATGGTTCTTTCCTAATCTGTAGCTACTTATCCAAAACTTTTCATTAACACAGACAATTAATTCATTTAATACAAAGTTCTTTGTGGTACTTTAACACTTACTTTACCCTTACATGTAACTTCAAACTGAAATAAATACTGTGGAGTAGAAATACTTTTTATATAATAAAATCCTTCAGGGAGAAGAGCAGCAAAAGAAAACACTGCAGATACAATATTGTCTCTTTCTGTTCCTCTTTTGAAGGCAACAGTAACCAGTGTCTTAGAATACCTGATAAGCTGGTTTGGAGAGAAAAAATTTACTCCAGAACTGGTAAATTTTAATTTATTCTAACTACTTGCACATTAATGCATTAAGCAAAGAATAATTTGTTTCCAATTAAATCATTTTAATTTTCTAAAGAGTTTTCTAGATGGTTGTATCATATTGTTACTTTCAAAACTTTCTTGATTAGATACTAAAATGAGTATTCGCATTTGTTTTTGGCAGGCTAAAATTATAAAACTTAACAGATACAGACGTAAAAAGTACTACCCCAACTCCCTTTGTATCACTCCTTTTGTATCACTTGCCCCACTAACTTCAGCCACAAGGCTTGGTGAGTATTGAGGTTTAGGAGAGGAGAGATCACAGCAGCTTTGGTTCTGTCAGGGTGCTGCACATTATTTACCAATACCTCCAGTTTAATTTGGAGGCACATTACAGTGTGCTGGCAGAGACACATTTAATCTTTCCACATGAAGCACAGAGCAGAAAGCTTAGCTGCATTCATGTGGTGACAAATCAAACCTGCTAAGAACTCCTGATTGTCAGGCTACATGGGCATGGAGTTTGGCCACAACTAGATTGATCAGCTGTGTAAGAGCACCTTATCTACAGAAGACCTTGGTGGATGCTTCTCATCTCCTTCAGTAGCACAAAGCAAATGGCATGATGCTTATCATAGTTTCACTGGTTTTTTTCAGTCACTTAAAGACCTTTCATGTTCTGTCCTTTCCTGTAGAAGACTGTTCTCTTTTTAACCAGTACAGATGTTGCAGAGAATGTGCACAATGACTTTTAGGTTAGGTCCCAGAATGAAGGCCACTAGACACTGTGATTAAATTATTAAGTTGGACTGGTACCAAAAATTAGGTTTGTAAGAATGCAGTAGCATTCAGAGATGAAAAACTCTTAAAAAAGGACATATTTTCACAGTGGTGCAAATCTTAAAGCAGATCTAAACACTAATTCCATAAAGATCTGAGTTCATGCATTCAGTCTTCAGGAATGTTTTTTCACAGATTGTGAAGTTAAACATTAATAGCCAAGTAATAATGTTTAGATATTACTAAAATAATCCTTCCTTCAGACTATAATAGCATCAGTTGTAATAATTTATATCTTAGCCAGTATTCAAAAAAACGCCAGCAAACTCAGTAGTGCTCACAAGAATCTCATCTAGAGACACAGAACTCTACCATGGAGTGTCTAATGTGGTTTTCAAAATTTAATTATTGCTTATAGCACTTGAATAGTTTTGAGTCCTACACTTCAGTCCTGCTCTATATAACACAAATTGCTTGAATCTTCAAGGAAATGCTCAGAATTAAAACTTTGTTATTTGAACCTTCACAGGGTAGATGGCTTTATGCACTGTTGGCATGCCTTGAAAAACCTTTGCTACCTGAAGCTCACTCCCTTATTCGACAGCTGGCAAGACGATGTTCAGAAGTCAGGGCACTGGAGGTAAGATTTAATATAACTGTGCACAGGGCTTGGTGAATTTAGCAGGTAAGGAGGATCATTTTTCAGAAGTCCTAATAATTAATTTTTCATGTCTTAAGTTTGCTTGAGAATGAAGGGAAGGCTACAAATACACATCACTTGGCTTGTAACAGCTTCTCTATTTGACACAGGTAACAAAAGAATTGCTGTAATATTTCTCTCTTTTCCAGGAGAACAAGAATGAAGAACAAATATCAGCTCTGAACTTAATAATCTGCTTAGTTAGTAGGTAATGCAACTTATACACCTTAACCAGTAATGTAAGTCCAGCATAAATGTGTGATTATTTGTACTAACCTAAATCCTTTTAGAAGTGGAAGTCAATAAAAATACCCTGGGCCAATGCAGCAAATATACTTAGCTGAAAGGATGTGAGATATACCTAAGAGTAAAGTATGCTTATTCCTGTCTTCAGATGAGCCCCCTGAACCATGAAACCATAGTTATGACAGAAACACTAAAAGATGAGCTAGAAAGCGTGGGTTGGACAACCTGAAGTAAGGAATATGTTGCATTGAAGGTTTCTTACCATATTCCACTTCCTTCCTAGGTACTTTGATCAACGTGACCTGGCTGACGAGCCTTCCTAGGCTGTTTTGAGAACATCCAGTATTTTGCATTGCCACAGTACAAACAGCATTATCAGAGTTAACAGCAAGACACTGCACTGTTCAGACCTGAAGACTACACAATCCCTTCAGAACACCCTCACACAAATGCATTTGGGACAGCTGTGAATAACTTCAGCTGAGTTGTCAGTGTCTCCAATACCATCATCACCATCATTGTAAAGTGGTAACTGAAGTGTCCAGCATCACCTCTCAAGCTCCTGTCTTTGTAAACTACTCCTTGGTTAGAAATTTCTACAATCTGAGTAATCTATGGACACTGCTATTAGGTGAAGTCTGAGGTTACATTGCAAATTATTATTCTTTTTCTAACAGACTTATTGAGGTATTTTTTAATAAAACTAAAGGATTTTAAAAGACTGTTCTTAAACATTGTGGGTTTTCTTACTCTATATTATTTAACAGCAGCCTTCCTATAAAAATCTAAAGTTAGGGCTGAATGTGTTTTTCCAAGTTTTGGTGCCTGAACTCTAGCACTGCTTAGCAGTTCATCTATAGCCAGCATGTTACTGAAACAACTGTTTCAGTAAAACATAAATATTACTACTTTTTGAGTAGTACATTACAGAAGTAAACCATAGCTAGCAATTAAAAACAATTACATTAATATTGAGCTTATGCACAGCAAGATAGAATAAATTTCCTTCTTTGGCCAGTATAGACAACCTTAGGCATAAATCATTCTGACACAAGGAACAGTTGCTAATTTTAGAGATGAACTATGTAAAAATAAGTTTTCTTCTACTGCCCCAAACTACAATCCTACAAAGGTCTCCACCTAATAGCTTTAATGATGTGTAAGCTGTTAGGTCACATGTTAGCAGGCTCCATCAAAGAAATACATAAGCAATCACTGCCTCCCAGTTCAGAGTGGGGAAAGGTAGCAGTTGGGCGTTCAACAACAGGCATTTGCTTCTTATTCAAATTTACTCTTGGTTGGGATTTTTCTCTGTTCTCAAACTGTCTCTGGTCTTCCAGGATCTTTTGGAAATTGAAATGTTTTGCTGAATATGTAGAGTACACGGTTTTTACCATGTATAAATTATTACTTTAGTATAGAATAAATTTCATACCAAGACACAAGCATAGTGTTAAGTTATTTCAATTAGCATTTATTATATATTTTGGAATTGTGCTGCACACTGCTATAATTTACATGTTATATACAAGACTGAGCTAAGATAATGAATCCACATACAAAGCCTTTTTAAAGTAGATACCCAGATTTGAATGTGCTCTACATCTTCTGTATCATCACCTGAAATTTACCTGCAGGAAAAGCAGAGTTGGATCACATTATTACCATTAGAATTATTTCTCCAAGTAATTATTTTCTTGTAATTTTTTTTTAAAGAAATAGTAAGGAGCATTTCAGTCTTACAGTTTAATTGTAAGCAGTTGAGCCATTATTTAAATTTAGCATTTAAATTTTAATTCCACACTGAACAGCTTTCCTCTTTTCTTTTTTTCTGTAAGTTGACCATGTCCCACATCAGAGAAGTTTTGTCAGCTAAACCTAATTTGTGCTAACTCTGTGGAAACTTTTAATTGAGCAGCTTATGTAGTTACAATGGTCTTCACTTACTAACATCCTTAATGGCTCCTATAGAGAAAGAGATTCATTTGTGCAAATAACCTTTTGGACACACATCCTTTCACATTTGATGCTTCTAAATGTAAATACAACTTTTTGGTTTTGCTTTCCACTCAACATCACGGAGACTTATCCTCTGTCAGTATTTTCTAAATACTAAAGGATATAGTAGCAAGCCATATCCTGAAGTTTGCGTGGACTCCTATGGCTCAGCAGCTTCAAACAAATCCCACCTTGAAAAAAGCTTATAACAGCAACACAGTCAGAAAAGTTACCAAGTGAGCTAATAATTGAATACTTCAAGTACTACTTACATGCAGGCATTGATGAAACTTCAGCTGTTACAATACTCTTTATTCCCAGATTTGATAAGCCTCCTCTGATTAGTCCACAGGTGAATGCTAAATACTAAATAAAAAGTTGCACTTCAAATGAGTGTCAACAGTGAACCTTACTGATAAAGATTGAAAATAAGTACTCAAGAACACAACTTAATACTTGGACATCAGGAAACCATGGAGGTTTTGAGAGACTTTGTTAGATCTCTGATAGATGAAAGCTCCAATATTTGCTAGAGTGGAGTTCACTACATAGACTCTTCTCATTAGAGGAAGTATTTTGAGTCACCTTCTCTTTCCATTAAACCTGTAGGAACTTAATATCCTTAAAAGAATTATTCCCAAGACTTGGCTGAAATTAGCAACTGGTATTGAAATCAACAAAGGAGAAACAGTCCAAGACAGCATTCTTGTGCAGGCCATACCTTAGAATACAAACACCTGCAGATATTTAAAATGTGTGTTGCAGAATAGAATTAAACATTTCAACAAACACACACACACACAAAAAAATCCCATGGACAGCAGCCAATTGGGAGGACTAAGATCAAGAATTAAGAAACCATAAAATAGAAGTGAATGTCCAATTTTTTAATCCACCTGAACCAAAGTGCTCTATGATAGGTTCTGCAGAGGGACTGATTTTATCTGACCTATTACCATAACTCAGCATCTGCACTCAGAACTATTTTTAATTGGTGGAAGATCCTTCTGAACATTCACATCATCTCAGAAGCTTGTTTTATGTAACAAATAGCATCTTCCAAATGTGTTCTGGGAATTTTAAAGAAAGTTTCTGAACACACATGCTTCCCAAAGACAAAGAATCTGTGTGACAGTGGCAGGTAGTGGCAGAGAAGCACTTGCACCATGAAGTAACTCAAATGTCACAGCAGCAAGTTTCACAATAACCAAGACCATTTTTTTGAACTATAAATCAAATCTGAACATTCACATCATCTCAGAAGCTTGTTTTATGTAACAAATAGCATCTTCCAAATGTGTTCTGGGAATTTTAAAGAAAGTTTCTGAAAACACATGCTTCCCAAAGAGAAATATTCTGTGTGACAGTGGCAGGTAGTGGCAGAGAAGCACTTGCACCATGAAGTAACTCAAATGTCACAGCAGCAAGTTTCACAATAACCAAGACCATTTTTTTGAACTATAAATTAAATCCACTGTTCTAAAACAGGGTGCCTTTCTAAAAAGCACACAAGTTCTGAAGGCATATCTTAAGGTGCCGTTTGGAAGAGTTTGTATCTACTTAATTAAAAAAATATAAAGTTATTAATAGATCAAGTTAATTAAAATGAAACTGGTAGACCCTCCCCCACACAGACTCAAAGGGTACCTTTGGTGCATGTTCTAAATACTGCTTTCCTGCAGACATTTGTGTCAAGAGACGGAATTTATTGTCTTGAAGAACATAAATACCCTGTTTAAAAAGAAAAAAATTGAGATCTTTCGTTAAATGTGCAGTAATATAAAACCCACATTTTCTGTGAATAGATTTGGTTTGTAGATAAAATATATATGATCTCAGGCTGAAAAATAAAATTTTAGATTACGGCATATGTGATTTAAGTTTAAATTGTATTATTTACTTACAAGGAATATCAAAAGGAAATATTCTTAATTGTGAGTATGCAAAAGAAAAAACAAACAAACAAACAACTAGACAATAATATGATCAGTTAACCCCAAAAACTGTTTATGTACATTTCTTCTTGGAAGAGTCCTTCCAGTGATTAGAAAAAATAGTTCCATACTAGAAAGTCTTTAGTAAAATATCAAATGCATACTGATTTTTACATTCAAATCTCTATCTTCATTGAGTTTTGCATATCTCTATTCTTATTCTCAAAGTCAGTGGGAATTATTTTTCTTAAAGGCAGTACAGGCAACAATACCCAGCAGACAATCAAAGTAAAAGTCTGGTGTTTTCTACAATACAATTAGTGCAACAGTATGCATGTTAATAAATTAAATATAAACACAGTATAGCTTTAGCTACACCTACCATGGTAATTTCCTTGCTACTGACTGTGCTACTTAAGAATTTCATAAAACTTGAGCTTAAATTAAGGCTGCATATACAATTAAGACTTTAAGCTCAATATTGCAGCTTTTTGCAATCAAAACCCCAGATTTCTAAAGTAATAATTATCTCTTATTACTTGATAAGTCACTGAAAAATAAAACCTATTTTTATTTGGCACAATCCTTATACAAATTCTTTTTTTCTGTAAAATTTTCTACAAATTTTACACAACAGAGAAATGGCCATAAGAAAACCAAGTGATTCAATTAGGAAAAAGATTTTTTACTCTAGTAAAATGGCTCCTTAAGTTATTTTGATCTGGCTTTAAGAACTGTGACTGTTGATGTAGGAAACCACATGGATACAGTGCAATGTCATCAGCACACAAATCTGAGAAGTTTCTCTGCTGTTTCTTATACAAATATTTTCAATAGATTACAGCTGTCTCAACTGCTGAAAATTCTTAACATTCTTCACAGTACAAAAATCACTGCACTGCAGCCATTCTATTTAAATAGATGTTAAGACAGTATTGTCACTTTTTCACTGGTTTTTTACTAACATTTATTAATTTATTTTTTTAAGAGACAGATTAAAAAGTTCTTGTTTAAATGTTAACCAACTGTAATCATTACTGTCCTTTCTGTAATGCTGCTACAGTGCATATGAAATTGAAAGCATTTAGTCTTTTCAAACAGGATGGCAATAAAGACATCATAGGCAATTATTAAATTGTATTCTAAAGCTACATGCAATATGAATATTGAAAAACACACTTTCTAAACAAAACAAATATGGAACATTTTGGGTTTCTTATCTGGTAATTAATTCTAGACCAAGAAAAACAAAAAATGCACTAGCAACTCAAAACTCTCACCACCTTTCTAAGTTAAATCTTAATCTATAGCATCAGTACCTGGTGATTAGTCCTTAGGTTATCTATTTGTTTTTTGAATACCGTTGTCCAAAAATCTTTGCAAATGAACTTCATAATATCTAATTCATCCTTGAACCTGGCAGTGTCTTTTGTAAACCTACGAGAAAAGTGAGAAATATATCAATAATGACAGTACACATAACCTGACCAATTAAACAGAGAAATAACTTATAATGGTACTATACAACATCATTTTTGAGGTTATTATAGAAATTAGTTTTCTGGCCTCATGCAGTAGATCATACAGTATCATTCTACCTCATTGTCCATTCATCAAGTACTTTAACTTAAGAGCAACAGAGTGTTATCTTAGTATCTGCAATATGATAGCAGAATAAATTGTTTTAATTCCATTATTATCAAACGTAGTTGATATACAGAAAGGTGGAAAGTGCTCCATCAGTTTTATCTTTAAAAAAGTATCTAAATAGAAGATAAACAAAATGCTCACACCTATAAT